ACTATTTAGGCCAAATGGTCTAAACCTTTATTTGTAGATCTTGAATGTCTAAAAAACCTGGATTAACAGGAACAACACAATAAAGGGTGAGAATCAAGAAAAACAAGATTGTCATAATAGCCATCATGTAGGACAAAAACATCTATTACATTATTTGTACAAGGAAGAATACCTATAAAGAGTGAAATAAAAAGGAAATTCTATATCTGGAAATCCGCTTCTGTGTTTTAGAAACAGAACAACTTAGGTGTCTTTTCCCAATCAACTTTGATAATGAATTTTAAAGTTTTCCATTATGAAATTGTTGGCCTCTTTCTTTTCAATTGATGCTCTGCAAAAAACAATTACAGACAACTTTCCATTATTAGCAGGAAATAATCCATTCCTAGCTGGTTTCCCCTACTACCTAACACTTCTCTGAGTTGTCTTCTACTTCCACTAGTTTGTGTGCAAGGAAAATGTACTAATTTTCTATTTAGCTAAAATGAAATATTATTAAAGACACATGTTACAAAAATGCCATTTTTTTAGACTTTTATGTACATAAATTTAAATTCCAACTCTGCCACTTGCTAGCTTAGGCAAGTTACAAAACCAATTTATTCAGCCTCTCTCTATGCCTCAATTTTCTTACCTAAAAACAGAGTATAACTATGCTGCCTACTTTGTGGCATTGTCATACAAGGTTTCACTGAAATAATACATGTAAACAGTATAGTTATATATCTGGTCTATATGTGCACAGAAAATGAAAGCTATAATACTCCATATAATAACTTGTTCACTCTAAATTCATTACAGCCAAACTGAAGATAATATAAAAAATATGTAACGTTCAACATATAAGTAAGGCTTTTCTCAAAGAAGAGATACAATCTTTAAAGAGTTTTTTTATTGATCTTTGGTTGTTACTTTTAGTCAAACCATATTTCTCTGACTTCCCATTCCAACATTCCTACGGAAGGAAAACTTCCCATTGGGAAAATGTGGTTCCAGGTTGTATCTTTCTTTAAATCACATTTATGAATCCACAAGTAAATCTTAAAAAAAAATCCACAGATTTAAAGAGGACAGTGGCAGTTTTCTGATCAAACATTAGAATTAATATTCAAATCACAAAATAGAAATGTTGTAAAAAGTTTGAAAACATTGTAAATGCTATACACAAATTGTAAAAATTAAAAACTACTAGGAATCATTTTTGCTTAAGGTTATAATCACATAAAAGGCAGGTGTGTCACTAAAGCAGAGTGAGAAAAAGAGTAATAGAGGAAGATATCAAAAAGTACAGTGGGCCCTTCAGGATCATATAGGGCCTTATAGGCTATTTTAAGTATACTGGCTTTTGTACAGTGAGAGAAATGGGGAGGCATGGTAGAAATTTAAGAAGCCAAGTGACATGATGTTGTTCAGGGTAAAATTTATGTGCTGAGAATGGAATGTAGAGGGTTATGATGGAACCAGAGAGACCAGTTAGGAGCTGTGGTAGTCCTAAGTGTCCTACCAGTATTGTGGCAGCCCAGATGAGACTTCAACCAGTGTGGGACCAGTGAAGGTGGTAAGAAATGGTCAGTTGTTGCAAATACCTTACTTGGAAGGGAGAGCTAATGGGCTCCCTAATAAATTGAACTTAGAATATGAGAGTGAGTAGTCAGGGACGATTCCAAAGTTTCTAGCTTTGTAAGTAACTGGACAGATGGATACACCATCAACTGAGAAGGGGAAGGCATTGGGAGGAGCAGGTTTGGATGGGAATATTAGCAGTTTGGTTTTGGATATGTTACTTTTGAGAAGTCTAGTGACCAACAAAGGAGAGATGTTGATTATGGAGGTAGACATGGCAACTAAGCTGGAGGTAAGTTTGAGAATTGTGAGCATAGAAATGGAATTTAAAGCCATACTACTGAATGCAATTACTAAAGACAGTGTAGATGGAGAAGAAAAGATGTCCAAGGATTTATCCTTGGGCCTCTCTGACATTTTAAGTTTGAGGACATATAAAGGAATCAGCAAAGAAGACTGAAAAGAAGCAGAGAAAGAAGTAAGTGGAAAACCAAATCCGTGTTGGGAGGGGGGTGGCATTTCAAATTAGACAGAATGATCAACTGCATCAAATGCTGCTGACAGGTCGATTAAAGTGAGAACTGCGACCTGATTGTAGAATTCAGCTGCATGAAGATCTTTGGTGACAATAATAAGAGTTTTGATGGAATGCTGAGATGGAAGCCCAGCCAGAGTGATAAGAGAGAAAATAAGAGGAGAGAAATCTGCAGCAGTGAATATAAACAAAATTACTGGAAGATGTGTTGCTTCAAATGCGAGTAAAAATAGCATGGTAGCTGGGAAGGGAGATAAGGTCAAGAAAAGGTCTTGTAAAATGACACAACATGCTTCTATGCTGCTGGAAGAGGGGAAAAAATTATTGGAACAATATCCCTGAATAGATGAAAAAGAATGGAACCTTGTATACGAATGGAAGGATAGTAATATGAAAAGTTCATCTATGGTGACAAGTAGGAAGGCAAACTATGTGAGTGTAGATTCTAACAGGTAGATGGGGTGATGGGAGTCTGTGGAAGTTCTCTTCTTAGTGCTTCAATTTCCTCAGTAAATTAAGCAGCAAGGTCATCAGTAGAGAATAAAGATGAGGAAGAATTTTGAGAACTGAACAGCAAAGTAAAGGTGTGAAGTAGATAACTAGGTGCATAATTGAGGGGCTGGATTAGGGACAAATACAATGATTGAAAACTTAAGAGCCTACTTGGGGCTTTGGAAAAGGAATCTGTTTCAGAATCATTAATAGAACAATACTAGATTGGAACAGGCAATACCTGGAGCCAGGAGGAAGACCAGTTAGGAAGCTGTTTTCATAGTCCACAAGAAACAACTAGAGAGGGATACTGTCTAAACTACAGCAAGAGCAACTGGAGGGCATTTGAGGAAACAGACGTAAGAGTCATTGCAAAAGCAGAACCCATGGGATTTGGCAAGGAATTCGAAATGACAGAAAACAAGTGGAGTAGAAGATGGCCCACAAGTGCCAAGCTTAAGTGAACTGGAGTTGGCACTGCCATACTAATGAACTCGAACTATTTCAATACAGCAAAAATTAGTACCCAACTGGTGATCAGGTTCAAGTAGTAAGCATAATTTGAGTGAAGTTTGAGAAAAGAGAAGAAAGATATTAAAAGATTAAAAGTGTTAATAGTGTCAAAGAATGCTGCTGTTTCTGTTGTCTTCATCCTTGTTCTGGCTGATTAAGATATGACATCCAAGTGGTAAACTGAGGGACTGTCTAAGTGATCAGGAAATACTGGCAACTGAAGAAAGAACAGAGCTTTCTTTGATAAAGGAAGGGAATGCAACAAATATTCATAAACTTATTTATACAGAAGCTTATATGCCAGGCACCATTCCAGGATTATCATCTCCTTTAATCCTAAAAATAACCATATGTGGTAGATCCTCTTATACCTTTGTTGCAGTTAAGGAGAATCAAGTTTAGAGAGGTTACATGACTTCTGCAGAGTAATGCAATTAATGGCAGAGCCAGCACTCAAACCCATGTCTGAATGACCACAGAGTCCAAGTTCTTAAGCACAACACAATACATGCTCTGCAAAACTCAGCATCCGGGTAAGGTAATATGGGCTGTTGAGCTTCTGAGGAGAATATTAAAGCTAAAGATCTCAGAGGTGGAATCATTCCAAAGAATGACACATTCCAAGGTGTAGTCATACCTGTAAATAGCTAAATGTAGAGATGAAGAAGTCAGAGTTTAGGAAATCAAGGAACTAAGAGCAAAAACACACTGAGGGATTACCAACCTAATAGTTGAAATTACCAATGGATAGCAAGGGTAAGTCAAAAAGACAGCCAAGTGCTATCATCATCAAGGAAGCTCAGCAGATAATTGACCTCACAAGAGAAAGGGTTTTTAAAAGATGGTTCAAAGAAGATGGTGTGGAGGAGCAGCAGGAAAAAGGGTATATACCACAGGACTAGGAAGAATGGCTGATAAGGACAGGAATATCAAGACTTGTGTCAGGGGAAAAGCCAGGTACTTGTGGCTAGAGAGAAGGAAGAGTCAAAGAAAAGTTTAAATATAAAGGGAATTTGTTTGTATCCACTCAACAACTTTCAACAAGTATTTATGAAGGCCTGCTAAGTCTTCCAGGTACAGGAGAGGAACAGGAGGAATGGTGACAAGATGCTACAGAATGGACAGAGTTTTTCAGTAATTCTTAACCCTTATTTTCGTGTGGGTGAGGGGACCTTTGAAACTCCTAGATAAAAAGACATATACCAAAAAGAAACTTACAAAATAAGTGGGATAGAATTATAAATGAATGAATTATGAATCAGGATCTCCAGTTCTCTGGTCAAGTAAAGCAATGTAATATGGCCCAATACCTCGTTTCTATACTCTCCTACCACAAACTGCTGAATACTCAAAATATTATATTTATTACCTAAGAACTAATCTAGACAACAAGCTATAAAATACAAGAAACATGCTAGAAAATGTAGGATATATGACTTCTGCTAACAGAACAAAGTTAGAGGAATCAATTCCTCTGTCTCCTCCTGCTTTTTTTTCTTGTCCTCTGCCCTCCCAACTCTATTTCATATACCCAACAAGATTTCTTGTGCTGTTTTCAGCAAAGTGGACATAGGCCTGTTTTGCTTTATAGAGAGAGTAACACAAATCAGTTAGCTGAAAAATTGATTCAGTATGCCAGAGACTACTAAAAACTTGAGAACAAAAATAAGTAAGACAGCCCCTGCTTTTAGGTGCTCATAGTAAAAGAGACAGACAAGTAAGGATGTTTTAGCTCAAAATACAGATATTTTTTAAAACACTTCTATTGTATCAACAAGTTTCTGGTCTTCCATGAGGTAATATAAACATCGTTCTTACAAACATACCTACCTAAAACCCAGGGTTATTCTGGGCACATACATTTTAAAATTACAACAGAATTAGAGGTCTAACTTACCATCATTTTTTCAAAGAGATCCAGTACTTCCTTTTCTGACAAATACAAAGATCGTTCATCGTATAAGGGCTGAGCTGCTGGAAACTCACTCATCGCAACTTGAGAATCAATAGGATGTTGAATAAGAGGTTTTTCTTTTTTGACAGTAGATTTTCTGAAACTTGTAATTCGATCACGCTGCAAAGAGGAAAAAAATAAGAAACCCTAAGGAAGAGATCAAGAATCATGGACATGAAGAATTGAAACATCAAAATGGCATTTAGTATAATATATATCATTATTGTCTTCTGACAAAATGTTATTTTAAGTAGCAAGCTCCAGTTAGAGATTGTACTATTTTGAAACCTTGAAGTAGCTCTCCAGTCTCAGAAGTCTGGGGTGTGAAAGGTATTCCTTAAAAGTAAAACTTAGTCCCTTGTCATTTCTGTTTTGCACAGGAAGTGAAAAATGTCCTGCATCAAGTCATGTGGTTGTTTGAGGGAAAATGTGTTTTTGGAAGCAACTTTCAAACCATGAAGAAAAGAGAAAAAAAATAAAAAGAGCTGCCAACATCTAATTCTAAGAGGAAATTACAGTGTTTCTTTCCTGAATATGCCAAAAATTTTGACAAGTATCTATGAATTCTTCATCAATGTAGTAGTACAGTACAGTGGTACAGAGCATAGACTCTGAAGCCAGACTACCTGGGTTTGAGTCTGCCATTTGCTAGGGTCTGAGTAACCCTGTGCAAATTACTTGGTCTGTTTTCTCATCTCTAAAATAGGGATATTAGTTGATGTATGTTAAATAAATAAATAATATTCCCTACAACCTAGGGTTATCGTGTGATTTAAATAAGTTGGTATGTTTAGTGTGCTTAGCTATCTACTACTATTATTGTTACTATTACTATTATTATTAATAGTTCCCCAACCTTTTTCTTCCCTAAAAAGTGTGACCAACGAGACATTACCTTTTTCATTTACTGCAAATAAAACACAAACAAAACTATCTTATTCTTACAAGTGAAGCATCTGCCGTTTTATGGATATGGACTCCAAACCATTGATACCACGTACAATCTCTAATAATTAGCTTACTATTTCACATAAAGTGAGTTAACGACTCCAGTTGCATGTAAACAGACCATTCTGTTTTAAGCCACAAAACACTGAACATCAAAAATTAGTAATGACCATAAAACTGAATGCAACACAGTTTTATTCTGTTTGCTGTTAGGAAGCACATGCATACTGCCAGCTCATGTTAAACCTGAAGACATGTTAAATATGAGGAGAGCACATCTTCACTGCCGTGTTACCAAGTTATTATAAATGACTTCGACTATACAAAAAGCATCACAAAAGTTACTACCACAACGTATGTATATTTTTGTTAATTCCCATTAAAAGAACATACTTCTTATTTTGATTCAAAGAACACTTTTTTTTTATTAAAAGGTGTACTTTGAAAGAAACATGAGCAGTTTTAAACAGCTTATTTGGGATTACAAAAATGATTTTACTACGTGGTTGCTTACAAAGAGACTATATAAATAACAATATTTTAGAGCTGGGAAGAAACTTGAAAAATTATCTGGACCAACTCTCTCATTTCACACAAAAAGTGACTCACTAAATTCATGAGTCCCTGGTTCCTATCCCAGCATTCATGTTAAGATTAATTTCTTTGAATCATCTTAAACTATACTTTCAAATTTTCTTTTAACTCTTTAAGGAAAATTAAGTTGATTTAGACATTTAGTATATCTTCAAACAACTCAAGAAAAAATATTAAGCAATTCCAAATAAGCTGAGTATGTATCCAATAGTCAAATTTCACTAAAAGATATGGTGGACAAAAAAGCATTTAAATATGCAATTGATTATATCAACTTACCTCTGCTCTGGTCCCTTCATATCACTTAGTATTTACTTTTGCAGTGCTAGGATTTTTACTGAGTAGTGTTATTTACATATATATTTAATATTCCACTATGCACTTCATCTCTATCTAGAAATTGGCTTTTGCTTTCAACCATATCTTGATAAAAAAATGAAGGTGAGCCATATATTTTCACCTCCTTAAATCACTAATCTTATTTTGCATTATTTGTAGGTAGGTAATTTCACAAAGAAAAAAAATGACACTGGTTAAAATACCATTTCTTTAAAGTTTAGCTATAAAAGGGCACATTTAAATTTTAAGCCCATTACCTTTAGTAAGTTTTACTACAATGGATTCAGCACAAAAATATTTAAGGGTTTAAAATTTAATAGCACATATCTGACTAACATATGAACTTAACTTCCTTTCTATTTTAAATTAATTTCCCCCAATATTAACATTAACATTTACATATTTATAGTCAATTTTCTTAGCTATCAAAAGAGGAAACATCTGTGTTTTCCAGAGCTAGTGTTATATAGAGATTTTAAAAATTTTTGGTTAAGGTATATGTCAGGACAATAATATCAAAATTTTGTTGAAATTCATGTTATTCATGTTAACATTCAAAAAAGAAGTCACTCTATTGACAATTCTTCCATTCTGCTGTATTTTGTAAACATCCAGAAATTTTACTTACATATCTCAATGCTTTAATGTCCATCCACTTTAATAAAAAGGCAACATGCGCAAGTAACGTAATAACATGCTACTAAGACCACCTTACCACATCATCGGCCAAAGTTTTTATTTGAATGTTCTATTAAAACCAAAAGGAAAAAAAAAAGAAGAAATACCTGTCAGGTAAGGGAAATACATTGATCAAACAAGAAAATAATGAAATGATTCTCATATTTTATCAACTATAACTAGTCAAAAAGAATTTGGAAGTTTAAATATGTGAACACATACATCTTTTACAAAGGGAAAAACAAAACAACCATTTAAAGAGTAAAAGTGAAGCTTTGGTGGAAAGTGTATGTTTTTCAAGATGACTCCCAAGGTCCCAAAGTCAGATTTGGATCATATATCATTACCGTAGTGCTCAAACTGAAGAAAAAACATAGCAAAGTCATAAGGCCTTTCAGGTTTTTTCAGTGGTTGAGAAGATTAATGTTTTAAAAAGTAAACAATAGGAGAAATGTCACAGTTAATAGTAAATATAATGAAACAGCTCAGTCTAGAACCCAGCAACATGTGGTGGATATTTAAAGGACACCTTTATAAACATCCTAGGTTAAATAGAACTTACTGATTCTGTTAATATACGCCCATTTCTCAAAAACTCCAACAATTTTTTTTGCATGTGGTTTTCTGCTTCTAAGCTGGGAATCACTGCAAATGGTGTATTCTAGTTAATAAAGTACAGTGGTTAATAAAAACTACCACATCACATAGATGGACACCACTATTTGAAGAATTAGAGTAGAACAATACTAAAGTAATAAAGCAATACTAAAGCAAAGTAATATCTAATAATTTAGGAATCTTCCATGATTCATAAGATACTTAACGATCTTCCAATAATAACATACGACCAGCACGAAGGGCAGTTGTTATTATAAGTTTGTTGAAATGCCAATTCAGAAATGTAATTAGGAAAGAACCAGATTTTTTTTTAAATTGTCTGTTAGGAATTGAAGTTATCCTTCTGCCAAATCCTGGACATTTCTTTCTTTCAACAGAAGCCAAATGATGTGCATCAATTTGGTCATACATGTTCACATCCCTTTTTACTAAGAAAAAAATGATCTTTTCACTGGTGGGGGAATTCCACTATGAGTTTTATGTAAGGAAGAATTATTTGGTCTCAGGAGCTCATGAAATTGTCTTCAAGTTCTACTAACCGAAGTCTATTAAAGATCATCCTCCCCTGGATAAGGTGAGACAAATACACTATTATATGTATAGTTCTTTTTCTACTTTTAATCTATCAATTCTCTCAAGGATCTACTTCTTCATCTTTGTACCATGTCTTCATCACATCCTGCTGATACAAACCCCAATTAATCTTTCCTGCCTAGGGAAAAAAAAAAGAAGTGGAAATATTTATATCAGAACTGAAGCCATTTTAAGAGAGATCAATTCATCCTAAGACCATCGCTACCTGACACTTCTCTTTAATTTTCCCAGTGGGTTTCAGAAAACTGTATTATGCACAATGACAGGCTTCACAATTTCCTGTAGTGTAAGATCAGGGTGAGAAATGTCAAAGGCTCAAAAGTACCTCAACTACCCTGCTACCATCCGGATGTGTACCTGTCCACTTGTGTTATTATTAGACAGATACACAGTTATATATATATATATATCAATCAACTCCTGCTTTACTTTTCATCCGATCCTTTGGGGTTATAAACTCAAGATTGGAAAGACATCTATATCTTCAAAATGAGAATGTAAATTAGGAGAAAAGATGATTTGATTTGGTCAAATTCTCTAAGTTAAAGGATACATATGTCTGGAATGCTTTAAATCTGTATTTCAATTGAGTATATGTTGACAGTTTAATCATGCAGGACAGAAACAAAGAAAAAAGTATTGCTAACAATTTTTCCACCTTGTCTTATGGGACAAGATATGAGTTTTCATCTCTTCCCCCACCCCCGGACTTCTTTTTAAATAAACATATGTTTTGTCCATATTAAATCACACAGTATGGACTTAAAGGCTATTAAGCTAGACATTATTTGAGATAATCTGGTCAAAACCACTCACTTTAGAAATGATGAACTTGAAACTTGAACAGTCTCAGAAACCTGCACAAGGACTACAGATATGGTTATTATTAACTCTTAGTCAACATATGACCTTCTCAGTTATTATAACCAAACTCTAGGATATTAAGGATTGAATTACTGAATTGAAACAATTCATGGTAATCTTAAATTCACAGATAGTCCCTTGGGTAACTGCCTTTTGCCATCATTACCCAGGGAGTTCACCATCATCCCAAAGAGCAACACCATGGTACCAACTGTCCTTCCCCAACACCTTATATCTCATTTACTGAACTCAGTTTGACCAATATACTCTATGTTCTTTGAGTTGCTAATTAGTTACTCCCCATATACAATCTATATGAAAATTTAGATTCTTCAGTCTTTCATAATTCTTAAACTTTACCTTCTTAGTTATTCCTTAATACTACTACAATTCTAAGAATCAGGCTACTTCCCTTAGCTTTTCAGGTGAGTGGCAGGAAAGCAAAAATGGGTACATAGTTAAAAACCCAGTGTAACAGAAATCCACATGCTAACATAATCTGAAATTTACTTTTACTATTCTTATTATTACTATTATTGTCAGTTTCTTCTACATGAGCAAAAAGGGGACCAAATGTTGTCTCAGAGGGACAGGACAGACTTTCCAGAAGGATGGTAACATTTACGTTACTAGTACCATCTGCATTGTGTTAATTCAGGTTGAAGACTTCCATGTCACCTTGGTCTCCTCACTCTCCATTCCCTATAGCCACATGGCTCTCAAGTCCCACGGTAATCTTTCTGCAGATCCCTCTTCATTCTCACACAAACCATCTCAGTTTAGATTCTAATCACCAGCAACAAGCTCCTCATAATTACCTCTGCTTCCATTCTCTCTTCTTTTCAAGAGTGATCTTTTCTTAAAGCACATATCCATTTAAGTCATCACCTCCTCTTACCTAAACTTTTGTAATAACCTCCTTTCTTTCTGCTTCCGCCTTTCCCCTCCTATAGCCAACTTGGAACATACCAAAGCGATACTATTAAGACTGAAGTCAGATCATATCATTCCTCTGCTCAAAACATTCCAACAGCTCTCTACTTCCATTCTGAGTGAAAATCGAAATCCTTACAATGGCCTACAAAGTCCTATTGATCTGCATACTCTCTATATCCTTCTAACCTCATCTAGTACTGTCCCTTTCATTCATTCAGATCCAGTCACAATGAACACCTCACCATTCCTCAATAAGGCAGTAAGCCACATTCATTGGCCCTTCCCTCTACCTGAAATGCTCTTTTCCATTATCCCTATGCTTACTCCATCACTCTACCCCCATCTGAGTTTTGGCTCAGTGAGGCCTACTCTGTCCATCCTATTTAAATGGAAACAGCCACCTCCTCTGCACACTCCTAGCACTCCTGACCTGCTTTACTGTGCTCCACTTTTTCTTGTTTCATCCAATAAAGTGAGTTCCATGAGAACAGGGACTTTCATTGGGTCAGGGACAAATCCTTAATGCCTAGAGCACTGCTTGGCACATAGAAGCTCAATAAAAATTATAGATGACTATAATGCTCCCATTCATATTCCGTGGCTACTAATGACTTACAGAATAAAGGCTAATATCCTTAATATGGCATTCAAAGCCCTGTATTATTCAATCCTAGGCTACCTTCTACATCTTCCCCCCTGATCCATATGCTATGAAAAACAAAAATGGAAATCAATTTTCCAGTGCATACCCCATCATGTCCTGTTTGTACACTCAATGTTTTCTCTACCTGGAATGCCCACCCAGCTAGATATATTTCTATTTCCAGAGCTTCTCTTGAGTTTAAAGTTTGGTTATTAATAAACCAAATATGAAGCCCTGGTCAAAAATAAGACTGATGGAGGATTATGCTTTGCTCCGTCTTTTCTTTAACATTTTTTTTTCTTAACAGGCATCTTCAAGAATGATAGAACACCCAAAGGACTATAGGAAATTTTACCCATGTAAAAAATTATCCCAATTACTTGTGATAGAGAACCATAAAGAAAAACACTCTGCTTCTGATTTCTTAATTTATACATTTCATTCAGCTACAGAGTGTGTATCATACATAACTATGCACATTTCACTATTACAGATATTTTCGCATAGATTTCCCTCATGTAAAATATCTGCCTTTATAAATACCTTCTTGATACCATTACTTAGAACTCTTTATAACTGTTCAGAAAAAAAGAAATGTGATTTATTAAAATACAAAATCTTTAAGTATTAAAGAGACTGAGTTTCAGAAGAGGTGATTATTTGGCTGCTGCTGCACATTAAAAACACATTGAAATTAAACTAGATAACCTAGAAGAAATGGACAACTTTCTAGAAAAATACAACCTTCCAAGACCAAGGAAGAAACAGAAAATCTAAACAGACCAATTACCGTAATGAAATTGAATCTGTAATCAAAAAACTACCCCAGAACAAAACTCCCATACCAGATGGGTTCACTGCTGAATTTTATCAGACATTTAGAGAAGACATAATATCCATTTTCCTTAAAGTTTTCCAAAAAATAGAAGAGGAGGGAATACTTCCAACTCATTCTATGAAGCCAGCATCACTCTAATAACAAAACCAGGCAAAGACACCACAAAAAAAGAAAACTACAGATCAATATCCCTGATGAACATAAATGTAAAAATACTCAACAAAATATTAGCAAACTGAATTCAAAAATATATCAAAAAGATCATCCATCATGATCAAGTAGGATTTATTCCAGGGATGCAAACATGGTACAATATTCGAAAATCCATCAACAAAAAGGAGGACAAAAACCACATGATCATCTCCATAGATGCTGAAAGAGCATTTGACAAAATTCAACATCCATTCATGATAAAAACTCTTTTAACAAAATGGGTATAGAGGGCAAGTACCTCAACATAATAAAGGCCATATATGACCAAACCACAGCCAACAACATATTTAACAACAAGAAGCTGAAAGCTTTCTCTCTAAGATGGGGAACAAGACAAGGATGCCCACTCTCCCTACTTTTATTC